CGACGAGCAATTCCAATAACTCGAGGATTAAATCCTCATTAGAAGCGAAACTTCTAAATCATCTTAAAAGCCACATCATTACGAAGATACCTTACTTTATTCAAAATTATTCCTCGAGAACACACTTTGTCCGCAGTTTCAAAAACAAAGATACATGTATCAAGTTTAGAAGTAACTCCCGCCACATTGAGAGTAGGTACTTACGGCGAACATTCTTCAACTTTTTGAGTAATTACTGAAGGTATAATTAAATTAAGAGTGTCTTCTTTAATTAAATACAACTTTATGTTGTTAATATTTACATAATATTGGTTTATTCATTTATGAAACAATAAAGCCAAGAATACACTAGGGAGACAATGTTCCACGACATGTATGAAGTCGGCCGACTTCACCTGACATACGTATAATATTTGGCAACAACGATCGCCTTATGTCCACTGCGACATTAATGTTGCCAGATATGTCGACCAAAGTCCGGCAACGTCGGGCTACTTTGCCCAACGTGTCGTTTATCCTCTGGTGTATCCTTGGCTTAAATTACCTAACTATAGTTATGGTTATGGTTTACTCACTCATCATCCTTTATGCATGAAAAGTCTGATGACTGTTGGCAAAGGAGATATATGTAAGAATCGTAGCAATTGGCGTCTCATAGTCTCTGCCTACCCCCATGGGAGACAGGCGTATGTTTATATATATGTATGTATGTACATCATCATTTTGTTTGTCGCATAATGTAGCTTATGACTTTGAGCCGCTAGCGGGGTTTGAAAACAGTCGACCTTAGTCGAAATTGTAACGTGAGATAGTTAACAAGTTATTTATATCTAACGATAGTTATAATACAAAAATAAGTTAAAAGATGAATTCCAACCTCAAAACCTTTTGTATACATTGACATACGATAATCATGACTTATAAATTAAATAATAAATAATAAGTTTACATTTTTTACAAATAATACAAACATGGCTAAACGCGTTATAATTATAAATTCCTAGTTTAAAACATTTTTCACAATTAAATAATTCAGATACGCCTTTGAGACGTATAGTTTAAAAACTGTTAATCCTGCATTTTGTTTCAATTTGCACACACTCACACATGCGTCACTAGAAGTGAACCGACATTAGCAAAGAATTTTCCTTTTAACTATTTTTACTCAGAGGTTAAGGTATTAAAATCAAATGTCCGCGTGGAATTTTCTAATGATAATGAACATAATTATGAAAAAATAAAGAATCACTTGATTGGTTGTAGTTTTTTCAAAATGCTTAGTTCAAGTTTGTTTAACGGTGACTTGATCGACACGTTACTGCGTTTAGCTCTCTGATTGGTTGGTTAATTAGGAGCAGGCCAATCAGAGCGCCGAACGTCATTAACATCTCGATCACGTTAACGCAAAACAAACTCGACCTCGGAGTGAAATAGGCCTTATATTTTTCGTTTACTTGTGTAGTTTTCTAGCAGTGACTAATTTATTGATGTCGTGGTAGGCTGCTATCATAGTATGCGTCTTTGGAGCGTTGGCAGTGCACGTCGGGTAGGCGTACATACAGTCTGATGTCTCCTGCCCTCGTCTGGCTGCCTTCATATATTTAAAGAAGCGCAGAATCTCAGGATTGTCGGAAACTGGCCTTCGGAGCTCGTTCAGTTCTCTGAGGAAGAAAAATGAATATTTAGATATTTTTGTAATTACAAATCTTGAAAATCTTTTTTAAAATTAAAGTTTAAACTATATTTAAAATTAACATTTGATATTCTTATTATTAACATTATATAATATGAGAAGAAGTTGACTAAAACATGTTATAATTATGTCTAGGGCGGTTTTTTTTATTTTTAGGGAGCCTCTCAAGGGAATCACACAACACGATCTCTTACAAAAATTAGTACGTAATATTTAATGTCCATGACATCTAATTACACACAGACAAATATTAGTTGCACGGTTGCACTGAAACTATCTTGAAGACAATGTAACTATAATAGTATTTTTTTTTTTTTTAAGGGGGGAAAATCATCGAATGACTGCCCCCGCCTGGGTGAGGCGGGAGGGAGTGTCAGACTCATACTGACTAAAAACCACCCCGTTCCTTCTCCTGCACGTCGAGCCGGAGCCCCGGTTACCCGTTAGGTTCTCCGCGACAACTATAATAGTATAGCCACATTACATTACACGGTAAACTTAGTCTGCATAATCTTTTAATTAGATTTCTGAGACTCTCAACCGAGCAATTTACTGCAAGTTAAGATCCAAACTTACTTATAACTACAGCAATTACTAAGTACCCACGGCGACACGTCGAGTTACACGAAACCAGTTAATGATGGTCTCGTTTTATATGATCTTTTTGCACATTGAACGGCCAGTTTATACTGGTTTGTTTAGCTTCGTGTGTAGCTGTGTTGTCATTTATTATACCAAGAACCAGGAGTTTCAGAATAAAATTATATAACAATATCTTTTTATTATAGTTATCTAGGTAATAAATGAGGCTTGCATTGAAGAAAAGAATTGCGTATGGTATTTAAAGTTTAACTAAGAAAAGAAATCCGTTTAAATTTTAACTGGACTTCTTGTTTTATCTTAGAACATAGCACCTTGCAAAAATTTACATTGCTACTGGTCAGGTTTCATATTCGTACCACCTCACATCCCTGAGGACACGGCGGTGCTCAGCCCACGCAGGACACACCGCCACCGTATGCTCCAATGTGTAAATTTGTACCTTCAAATATGAGATGTCGGTACCTTAACTTCCCCACCAATACAACATCAACCAATTATACAGGCCTTTTTTTTAAGGAGGGAAAATCATCGAATGACTGCTCCCGCCTGGGTGAGGCGGGAGGGAGTGTCAGACTGACTAAAAACCACCCCGTTCCATCTCCTGCACGTCGAGTCGGAGCCCCGGTTACCCGTTAGGTTCTCCGCGACAATTATACAGGGCTAGCTTTGCTCGCGTTCTCGAAATAACAAAGTACCTTATATGTAATTTCAGACTCCTTTTGTTTTTAAGGGGATAAAATCATCAAATGACTGCTCCCGCCTACCTGGTTGAGGCGGGAGGGAGTCTCAGACTCTTACTGATTAAAAACCACCCCGTTCCTACTTCTGCACTTCGAGCCGGAGCCCTGGTAACCCGTTAGGTTCTCCGCGGCAATTTCAGACTATAATATATCTTTCCGCCACACTTCGTCAAAGTCCATTCAGAAGTTCTATGTGAAAGAGCAACAAACATTACATTCATTCTCACATCCATCCATACACGCTCACAAACTATCGCATTTATAGTATTAGTAGGATTAATACTTGGATGCTGTATGATACAATACCTGCTGAGTTGAGCAGAGACCAGATTGCTGTATGGCGCAAACTTCGCTGGGCTGGCGTACATCAAACATATCAGCTGTTCTCTGCAAGCTTCGATGTTTTCATCCACTGAATTCTCTGCTGGTGCCAAACCTGGAATCAGGATGAAGCATAAATTAGGTTTTTAGAAGTATAGAACGGCGAACGATTAGATCAATTACCTCATGGTAGGCAACCACAATACTTTTTATTTTTTTTTAGGAAACACACAGTGTACAGAAGTATAAAAGTAGCACGACTCCGTAGAAACAAGAGTAGGAGGCAAACGAGCAGACGGATCACCTAATGGTAAGCGATCAGCGCCGCCCATGGACACCCGCAACACCAGAGGAGTCACAGGCCTTTTAAAAGGGAATACGCTTTTTTTAAAGGTTTGAAGGTCGTATCTGTTCGGAAATACCGCCGACGACAGATCATTCCACAGTTTTGCTGTGCGAGGCAGAAAGCATCGTGAGAAGCGCACAGTTTTGGCCTGTCAACCATCTATAAGGTAGGGATGCATATGCTGTCGTGAGGGTCGATGTATTTTCATGTCGAGGTCTTTTCAAGAATATGTCTGAGTTGAGCTAATGTTAGTTCTCAATATACCATATATGCTTACAACACCACCGCTACTACTTCATGGTGGATATCTCACCCACTTGCACTAAGAACATCACTTCAGGCTTCTTTGTATGAACTGTTGAGGAGTGCAATCTATTCCATAATTTGTGTTTTCCGAAGGGTATCTTCAAAGCCTGAGTAAGAAATAGGTTGCTTATGGCCCTGACCATCGTCGGCCGCATTGATGCTTACCACCAGGCGAAACAGTAGCTCGTTGCTCGTGGTTCTCGTCGACTTATCAAAGTCAAGTCAAAGTCAAAGCATTTAATCACTATATAGTATAAAACAAAGTCGCTATCCGCCGTCTGTCTGTCCCTATGTATGCTTAGATCTTAAAAACTACGCAACGGATTTTGATGCGGTTTTTTTCAACAGATAGAGTGATTCTGAAGGAAGATTTATATGTGTAATACATGCATATTGCACTCGTGCGAAGGCGGGGCGGGTTGCTAGTTTCAATTAATTCTTAATTAAGTACTTTTGAAACGTCACAAATTTAATAGTCCATCCATCTGTCTGTCAGTGAAGCGAGGCACTCGTTCCAAAGTGTTCACAAGTTCAAACAATTATATATAAAAAAAACTAGAGGAGTTCCAAGCGGCCTGAGCTCGTGACCACAGTTTAAATAATTTTTGTATTAAAATAAAAGTAAATCTTACCAAGTCGTGCAAATATGCCGTCGAGTCGTGACAACAGTGGGGAGTAGAACGGGTCGTAGTTACTCAGGATCATGGAGGAAGCTGGAATCTTTTGGAACACCTGGAAATAATAATAGAAGTAGGTATTATAAGTCATGTGAGACCACCAGACTGTGATTTGTTTGAATTTAGATGGATAGGTGTGTTGTGAATGTCTAAGATTTTGTGAGAGATGCTTGTTTTAAGTCAAAATTACTAAAATTACCAATTTTGTTATTGTTGGGATAATGACAGGGTATGAAAATTAAAAATCTAATTAGTCCGCAAGTTAGGTAATGAAAAAATATTAGACACGTATTTTTTTATTTTGTCGTATAATAAAACAATACTTAGATAAAACGAATCAAAGTTTAGGAGTGGGGGCTAAACCGTCATTTCTACGTATAAAATGTACATAGAAGAAGTGATGTCACGCGACATTTCAAATCAATATATCATCAAAAGTGTTCGTTACTGTAATAAAAAATACGTTTCAACTGATTTGAAATAATCTACCAGACGGACATTAAAATAAAAATTAGGCATCTACCCTATTGTATTAGTTTTTATTTCTTACATTTAATTATATCATTAGTTTGCTTTTAAGTACCTACATAATAGTATTTATATAAGATTTACAGTATAACTTAATGGCGTAAGCTGTAATGTTATTTATGTATCTGAATAAATAAATAAATGTATATTTTAGCTAGTTCTATGTGGTGACTGCAATGCGGAATACATTTTGTCAAACTGTCCTACAATCGTTTTGGTGGACTAATATTTTCTATTGTTTTCTATGAAATAATTAAACGAATTTATTATTATTATCATTGAAAAATACATCCACGTTATCCGCGGATGTCGTAAAAGCTGGGAATATACATTTTGACAGAGACATTATGTTAAATCATGTATTACATCTTATTACTTCGTTGAGTACACAATTAATTTCAATTAAAGAACAATAAGTTGCGGTCACCGGTGTCCTCGCGGTTTTTGACAGTTTAAACTGTCAAACACCAAGCGGTCACCGGTGACCGCAACCTATTGTTCTATAATTGTGTCTATAATGACGGTACTCGACGAGTTAAACCTGTCTACTTTAAACAAGAAGAAGCAAGAACAGCAAGTAATATATCAAAATGTCTAAATGAATGTAGGAAAACACGGGAGCAAAGAAACGGAGTCACTAGCGTGATATCTTTTTCATTTCTTAATAAGTATTTTCTGATGCTGACTGCCTCGTTAGCCGATTGGTCGCAAGTGCGACTGCCTCGCAAGGAGTCTCGGGTTCGATTCCCGGGTCGTGCAAATTATAACTGGATTTAAAAAAATTCTCAGTAGTAGCACGGAGTCTGGAATTACGCCCGGTATATGGCAATAGGCTCACCCCCTATGAATGGGACTCATAACATAAATAGTGAAAAGTGGGTGTTACATTGTACAGTGGCATAATGTGCACCTCTGCCTACCCCTTCGGGGATAAATGGCGTGATGTTATGTTTATGTTATGTTATTTTTTGATGTAATTATTTTATTAATTGATAACTTATGTCGTCTAAGAGTCAATTTCGTTACTTTTAAAATGGGATCAGTTTATTCTAAAATGTTTTTTTAAGCTTCATTTCCTTGATACCAAGCGTAGTTTTAAAGTATTTTAAGGTTTCTTTCTACTTATTTTTATTTATTTCAACACTTTATGTACAAACGCGTATACAATGACGGGCTTGGCATTCTCTACCAGCCAACCATTCTACTTCAACAGGACAGTAGCCTAAGTTTTTCTACGGTCCTTTTTCACTACATGAAATAATAGTACACTACTAATTAGGCAAATCCATTTAATTATTTTTGCCTCATTATTTCAGATAAATGTCTTACCTTGTAATTATTAGCAGTGTTCATTTGATTCTTGTAATAACTGTTCTTTGAAGGTAGGAACCCTGTTTTTTGTCCATCCACTCCAAACCTGAAAACCAAAAAAAAAGTAGATAAATTAGGAGCAAAACTTAGCATGTCTTTATTAATATCATCAAAGTAAATTGTTAACTAAAATATCAGTAAATATACTGAAAAAGCTTTTGCTAGTTTCGTTCTTCGTCGTGCAGCCTACATAACAGACGTCATCACGTCCCCGCATGCTGCTCATGAAGAAGAGTCCCACTGTGACTCGAAATAAGTAGAGCTTTTCTCAATATTTCATTTCTTGGCATTTTTAGTTGATTTAGTGAATGTATCATAAAAATAAAGTATTTTTTTGTCTCTATTCGATTTGGTGGTATGTTTTTCATGTTTTTTTGTCACTAAGCGGTTTGATGGTATAGTTGTTTCTGGAGAAAGAAGACTTAGGAGTTGTGTAGGCTATTAACTAATCGGCTTAAACTGTGGTTAACAGCCAGTCATATTGTAATAATTCTTGGTAGCATAAAAAAATATGTTCCAAAATCGCGCGTTAATGAATTTCTCAGTATTCCCAGAAACTTCATGAATTCAATTTACCATTGAAATGGAAAAAATATTTGAATACAGCAAATTGGGCGTGCAAATGAATAATAAAAAAACAATTTCTGATAAAATTTTACTATTATTGGTAGCGTGCAAATTGGGGAACATAATTGAATTATCCCTCTCCCCCCATCGAAATCACTGGGCTGAATGTAAACCAATAATAAAGTTAATATTTCAATATATATTTTCCAATGCGATTGGGGTTTTCGATAAAAATGTTGCAAGTATAACTGGAGAGAGCGGGCTCCTGGATTTATTTTAGACCACAAGATTAATAGATCTCAAAAATGTATATATAAATAGTACATTTTTTTAAGGAAATCATCCTATAACTTCCCCCGCCTTGGATTAGGCGGGAGTTAGTGTGTGATTCTTACTGACTAAAAACCACCCCATCCCTAGTCCTAGTCTTCGAGCCGGAACCCCGGCAACCCGTTAGACCTTCTGCGGCTCCGTATCGGGCATCAGCCCTACTGGGCCTTAATAGATCTAAGCTATACCTCTATTGAACAAGACTTAAGGCACAAAATACACGATGAATAATCCAGACTATTTCTTCATGTGCTAGTAGTTAAGTGTACTTTTTGAACATATTTAAGTTTTCTTGTTGATGGCTTAACATTTCCTGACTGCTGGCTTTTACATCATTTCAATGACCCACAATATAAATTGCAATACCTATGCATTAATAGTCATGCGAACTAAACATATATTAAAAATTTCTGCTCAATCTGTTGAAGATATATTATCTGCTTCAGAATTTAGTTGCAAGATATCACTTTGCACACATACATCCATACATTGCCGATTTGTTATAAAAATCTTTACCTTGACATATCAACGTTTCCCAGGTCATTGACGTCATTAGCATCAGCTCCATACATGCCATCTTGAGGGTAAGCATAGGTTCCAGTTTGACTGGTCTCGTAACCCATGAAGTCCTTGTTGTCCGAGTTGTATCCAACCTGATCATCCACGTTAGCAGGCGGATAACTGGCTTGGGATGACGATGCTGATATTGTGGAGAGACCTGAATATAATTGATTAGTTTAGAAACTTACTACATACGGCGAAGGAAAACTTCGAGAGGAGATCTAGACATATTTCTAAATATAAGTTTAAAATTTTGGATTGCCATGCTATGAGCCTTCGTAGTGATTAATACTCATTCCTTCTCCATGTGAAAAGAGATTATTCCTCAGCACTAGGTTAGGTTGATGTTGTTCAAAGAGTGAAGGAACAGAGAGCGCCCCTATGCACTATAATAACTCCTGCATAGTGAGCTGGTCTAGTTCGGCTTGCCACTATGATCGCAATCGATCGAAGGGCTTTCACAGTTAAACCATATAAACAAAAAATAGCATGAGCGAAAGGTATAGCCACCTATATTATTTACTTAGAATTATTCCTAAAACACAGGTCTCACGATTTGCATACAAAATAATTAGGGTCGCACGTTTTGTTATGCACGCCTAGTACATACAATGGGTCTCTAAGGTACCAGGATTACATTATCACACAGACGCTGTTTTAATAATATGATGGCTTTCCATTTGACAGGTTATGTGCGAACGTACAATAGTGACCTGGTTTCATTTTACTGCCTGGAATTTATGCTCGCCTGGTACTTTGTATGAATCTGACTATGTGACTTTTATTCTCTCAAAAGGGTTAAACAGAGGCAGTGTTGATAATATCCAATTCTAGAGAGGTTTAAACAAATATTACTGTCAATAGCAAAAGAAAAAAAAATGAAAGTAAAAAAAAAGAAACAACAAAAATTATACCCTCAATTTAGGCGTCAACGTATTCGTCCACGTTTAGGCGTCAACGTATTCGTCACTATCACAGGGGAACGTTCCCAGTAGACTGGCAGCATTGCCACGTTGAATGGCAATGCTTATTTTCTGTCCGAAGAAATAGCCAGCTCTCTGGTTACGTGTAGAAAAGCACAATTTTGTACTAGACTTCGTGGTTTTAGGTACTAAGATTTATTTTTAATCCGAAAACCGTTTTGTTCTTCGAGAATTGAACATGTGAACAGTTGTTTGGCCCACGTGTGATCAAGGAACCGTGGAAAGAAATTCTGTACAACCTATCAAAGAGAACTGTTGCTAAGTAGGTACATTTAATCAACCAATTCTATATAACCTTAACTAAAAATCGCGGGTTACTCATGTGAATATACTGAGAAAAGGTCTATTTGATTCGAGCCACATAGGGGCTCTTCCTCATGAGCGTGGTCGTTGCAATGTCGCGCATACTACTGACAGCATACTAGTCGAGTTTTTCTCAGTATATTGACGTGAGTAACAGATAAAAGTAATGAGATTTTTAGTTAATTTAGTATGTGTCATGATAGTTATTATAAAAAAAGAAATAATCTTTGCTAGACATCACACTCTATACACAAAAAGATATATTGATATCTTTAATTCCACGTCAAACCTGCCTCATTTCTTAGATAATTCAAGTAATTTCCAAGCAACTTAACTTTAATGCGCTTCACTCTCAATGTAACACGTTTCTAAGCTGAGAAGCTTAACGTAATATTAAGTGGCTGGTATTAGGCACTTTGCCGTGAGATGAATATATTTGTCACTACCTCTATTCTTCTCGCGGGTAAGAACCAACTAAGGAATTTACACCATGATTTTATAAGTAAAGAGGTGTACCTATATACATATATATACCTCTATAGGTATTAAGCATTCGCTAAGACGGATCACCTGATGGTAAGCAAACAGCGTGGCCCATGGATACTCGGACCACCAGAGGCGTAACAAGTGCGTTACCGGCCTTTTGGGGATTAGGAATTTGAGGATCGTTGGTATTCAAGGATTGAGAAAATGTGTGGGGCCTCCGGTGACCTCACTCACACGACGAAACACAACGCGAGCGTTCTTTCACATCGGTTTTTTGTGAGGTCGTGGTATTACTCCGGTCGAGCGGGCCCATTCGTGACGAAGCATGGCTCTCCCACAAAATGTGATAGTGATTATTAAGCGCTTACCTTTGCTCAGCATCTTCCCAAAGCTTCCCAATATGCTAGGCAGGAACATTGCAAACAGTATTGTTTTTATTAACACTTGTCCTCCTATTAAGATCGGTATGAAGAATTTGTTTAGCCCAAACGCTGGAAAAAGAAAAAAAAAGAGGTCAATGCTTTAGAAAAATAGTAACACGTCTTTTAACATTTCATCAGTGTAATGTGTCTATGTATATTCATGAAAATTATGACAATTTTTTATTTTAAACTGTCAAACACCAAGCGGTCACCGGTGACCGCAACCTATTGTTCTATAATTGTGTCTACAAAGACGGTACTCGACGAGTTAAACTAGCTTCTGTTCGCTTCGTACTTCGTACGCGCAATCCCGATTTCTCTCGTTCCCGAAGGATTTTCAGGATTTTTTTTTTCTGTCATAATAACTTTCTCCTGACAATAACAAAACATAACAAAAAAATTGTGTAATCGTGTGGATATAGGGAATGATTTCTAAAATTATAGATATCTGTCTGAAAAAATATTTTAAAACATTAGACACGTATTTTTTATTTTCTTACGGAAACAAATACTTTCGACGATATATTGATTTGAAATATCCTGTGACGTCACTCCTATGTACACACGGCTACACATCAAGCTTTACATAACCAGTATAAACTGAACGTTAAATGTGCGGAAAGATGATGCGACGCGACACCAGGATAAACTGGTTTTGTATAGATTGATGTGTGGCCGTGTGTACA